CCTAAACCCTAAACCCTAGGTGGAAAAAGGTGCTTTAACAAAAAACCTAAACCGAACCCCAAGCGCCGAGGTACAAGAATAAGTTCCGACCCGGCCCTACCCGCGAGATAATCAGGGCCGCCACCTCAGCTTCAATGTTTTGAGGGTTTAGGGTTTCGTTTCGGATGTATACGGTGTGTTGTTCTGGGGCTTAGGGCTGGAGTCTATGGCTTCTGGTCTTTAAAGATTTTTCAGGTTTAACGGTTGAGGTTGGGTACTGCCCCCACTCAGTAACAGTTGGATAATATTCATATTATGGATATATTAGGCCCTTCATAGTAGCCCTATTAAAGACTGTTAATGTATGGGGCAGTACCCAAGGTTGAGGCTTGAGGGTTTAGGGTTTAGGGTTAAACCCTATATTATAAACCCTAAACCCACAAAGAGCCTTTAAAGGTTTGGGAAGCATTTGAGGAGCTGCGTCTCGGAAGCTGACGGTACATGGATTTATGTTCAGAAAGGGCTTAACTTGGTTCCGGGATCAAGGATCATGAGAGCTCTGCGATAAGATACAGAGCTGTCCACAAATCCACCCCTATGTTTATACCTAGTCCGGGGCGTAGGATTGTAATTGTGAGGTTTAGAATTGGAGCTTGCGTTTGGCCTGCCGGGGTAGGCATGAACAAATCAAAGAGTGATCAATCGGGATCAACAACATCAAATAGGGATGAACAAAAAAATCAAACAGAGATCAAAGCAATCAAAGCCTGGCTGGCCCTCCATAAGCCCACACCCCCCATGCCACAACCCCCTAAACGCCGAATGGAGCGGCTCCCCAACATACATTACTCTGGGGTCTGGAGCACTATAAGTTTAAACGTTTTCTGGTACTGGCATCGTTGGTGTATTTAGGGGAGGCCGAACAGTAGCTTGGATTTCGACTGTGGGTTTCGGGTGAGTTGGAGCTTGTGCATGGTTGAGCGTTTAGCGCCCGAAATTCGAAACCGAAAGCTTTAATCATGCTCGGTCGGGTGAGCCCCATGCCGAGGATGTGCTGCAAAGCAAGCTGGACAAGGCTCGATTTGGCGAGCCCTAAACCCGAAGCCCTAAACCCTAAGCCCAAAACCCTAAACCCCAAACCCTAAACCCGAAACCTTAAACGGCTATGCTTCGTGTCGCAATTCGCAGGTTGACGGAGTGGGCTCTACATGCAGCATTCATCAAATTCGCCCGTTAAAGTCTAGCACCATTACACATGCTAGTACTCTGCTCGAAGTACGAAGGTCGTGATGCTTGTTCTTAAGTGTTTTATCATGATTTCAGTGCCCTAAACCCTAAACCCTAAACCCTAAACCCCTAAACCCCTAAACCCTAAACCCTAAACCTTGTGGTTGGTTGGGCTTCGGGGCATCACAATACCGAGAACTGATCACGATCGGAGCCCGGACCTGCAACCTTACGCACCTCGAGTCAGCAGTTTGCAAAACCCTGAACCCGAAACCCTCCAGCTGCAAAGCCCTAAGGGTTTAGGGTTTAGGGTTTAGGGTTTAGGGTTTAGCCCAAACTCGCAAACTAAATCACAACCCGACTCCTTAAACCACCGGCGGCTTGGATCCGAAGCAGTGAACGGGGCCTAGCAACCACCGCGCGTTCCGTGTAAAAGCCCCGCATCTTGCAAGGCAAAATTGGGGATATATTATAGGGGCCTAAATCATTACCTATACTATTGTGGGGAGGGTTTCTTTATGATAATGAAAGAAAAAATGAGCCCCAAACTATTAAGGCCCCTACAGTAGGATTCTAGGATTCAGAGGCTTGGCAAAAACTGATGGGCGAAGGCTCTGCTTTGGCTTTGTAAGTTTGTCAGGAATGCTCGAAAAACGTAAAAGTCGAGTTTGGGTGTTCCAGCCGCCCGACCGGATCCTACAGCCGAGCCAGGAAGTCGCACTGTTGTGATTTGGCCGTAATATAGAAGCCTAAATAGTTGCCAATATTACTGTTAGGGTTCCCTATTATCACAGTATCCTAAAGGAGCCCAAAACCCTACTCTGATTATCAAGGGCACCGGCATTAGTGTCTGCAGATTAGGGTTTGGGGTTTGGGGTTTGGGGCATTAAGGGGTCTCCAGCTTTCCGGTCCCGTAGCTTCCGGTCGGCAACGTCAAGAAGCCTGAAGATGCTTCTGGGTTATTTTTTGGGTTTATGAACCGTTTGGGGTTTAGGGTTTAGGGTTTAGGCGTCTGGGTTCCTTTTTGGATTTATGAACCGTTTGGGGTTTAGGGTTTAGGGTTTACCTTTAGCTACCAAAACCTACTTTTTTTGTGGGGTCCCTATAAATTCTATTCTAAGGTTTATCATATGAACCTACAAGAAAGTAGGTTCTGGTAGTATAAGGTAGGGCCCTAAACCCTAAACCATAAACCCTAAACCCTACAGCCTAAACCCTAAACCTTAAACCCTAAACCCTAAACCCTAAACCCTAAACCCTAAACCCTAAGCCGCCAGGCAACTTACAGCATGGAGACAACTCAGTTGCTGACGAAGCAGGCGCTTAGCAACCCACCCTCTGCCAGTTTCAGGGTCCCTGGGCTCCGTGGTACAAGAGGCCGAATGCATAGCCACACAGGGGCGACAAGGGCATCATCTTGCGAATTTTCAGACCCCGGGGTTTAGCCCCAAGCCCTAAACCCTAAACCCTTAATAACCCTAAACCCTAAACCCTAAACCTGAACCGTAAGCTCGTGACCACAAGCCTTATGACCTGTCCAGACCCGAAGCCAGAAACGAACCCCCGGTTTCTTGGAGTGGCCGGGTTCCATAAAGGGAGTTATAGGGGAGTTATAGGGCATGATAGGGTTGATAACAGGGAGTTACAAGGCTCCTTTAGGGGCGAGGCGGCCCGATCTAGGCCTTAAGGAGGTCATAGCCTGGCGTGGGTTTGGGGTAGCGGCTTAGGGTCTGGGTTTTAGGGTTTGGACACCTCTTCTTTCCAAGCGAAAACTCCTACCCAGAACCCCATGGTTTTGGGAACACCTATTGACACGAATGAAGCGTCGCCGGGTGTAACTGAAGAGAGCCTCGAAAGCACGGTAGGTGTACTCATCGCAAGACAGCAGCCCTAGATCCTAAACCCTAAACTCCCTAAACCCTAAACCCTAAACCCTAAACCCTAAACCCTAAACCCTAAACCCTAAACCCTAGGCAAAGCCTCTGTCCCCAACGCCGCAAACCGACTCTTTCACCCCCCAAAGATCTCCAAACCTCGGAGGTTGCAGACGACATCAAGGACCGGCTAAAGGAGCTCAACTTGCCAAGGTACAAGATCGTGGTCCAGGTACGCTCCCGCAAGTGCGGCTTGAGTTCGGGTTGCATAGATATGAGCTGCAGCCAGTACTAGTAACAACCTTAGACCCTAAACCCTCAAACCCTAAGCCCTAAACCCTCAAACTCTCTTAAGCTGTAAAACCTAAACCCGTTAACTCTAAATCCTAAGAGTCATTGCGCATTAGCACGGAGGGACTGCTCGAAAAGGGATGGATCATTGAAGAGCTTTGGCCTAATGAGTTTGTTGGTACTGTGAATAGTAGTCCCGATACCCCAAAACCCTCTTCTTCCTGATTTCCCGAAGTTGTGTACAAGCTGCGTTTGTTCAACTTTCTGCGGCCTCCAGTCTGGATGCTGTACTTAGACGGGCGCAGCATGCGAGGGCTTCATGTGGATTTGGGTTTGGGGCTCTGAGGCGTCGTAGGATTTCATGTGTGGGGTTTAGGGCGTCATGGCTGTATACCTAAACCCTAAACCCTAAACCTTAAACCCGAAACTTAATCTAATGTAGGGGCCTTAAAAATTAGAATAGGATTTTGGCGGTATATTATACTAAGACTATATCAAGAAAAACTCTATAGTAAGGCACCGCCCAAATAGTATTAGTAATTATTAAGGTCCCTATATTATACTAGAATCGTAATAATTAAGGAGCACCCCAAATAGTAGTAGCAACTATCAAGGCGCTTTTATTATATGGGAGCTACTACCGCTCCGTAGCAGACAGGCAAGCGTTTTGTATTGTAAATACCACGAAAACACAACATTTTTGTTGATGTGCCTGGGTGTGGAAATCACACGTTTCTGCGTCAACACGCGTTAAAACTTGAGTTTTGGCCTCGGAGCAGCTACCAACAAGAGTGTTTTGAAGCTATGAAGATGCCAACATACTGAGTTTTGTGGGGTCTGTTCACAGACTGAACTCCAGGAGGAAGTTTCAGCTCGAGGAATTTGCGCGTTCGACGATGGTAGACCAACAACAAGAAATCAACAGAATTGCAAAACAGCTGAATTTTGGAGGAGCATTTCGAAGTGACATATGTGCAGTGCACCCTCAAAAACTCGAAAACATTGCCATTCTTGCATGATTCGAAGTGAATGCAGCAGGCACGCGAGTGGAAGTTTTGACACAGAGACGCGAACGAAATTCAAGTTTCTAGATTTGAAGTTTTTGTGACATCTTCGACAATCGTGGCAGGCGTGGCAAACCGAGGTGAAAGGCTCCTAAAACATGGTCCAGTGCGCGTGAACAGTGCTATGGAAGCTATAATAAGGAACACCCCAAGTAGCATTTGTAATTCTTAAGGGCCCTATATTATGCTAGAACTATGATAAGGAGCACCCCAAATAGTGCTAGTGATTATTAAGGCCCCTATATTATACTAAAGTTACAACAAGGAACCACTCCAAATAGTGTCAGTAATTATCAAGGCCCCTATATTACACTAAAGTTATAATAAGAACCCTCCGAATCGTATTAGGGCCCTTATATTTTTATCAAACTTGCTAATAAGGAACACCCCAAATAGTATTAGTAACTATTAAGGCCCCTACACTGTACTAAAATTATAATATGGAACCCCCCGAATAGTATTAGTAATGACTAAGGTCCCTATATTATACTAAAAATTTTTAATAAGGAGCCACCCGAATAGCATTAGAAATTACTTAGGCCCTTAAATTATAAGGGCATCCAGTGAACCCCAAACCCTAACCCTGATTTCCTAAACCTTAAACCTAAGCCCCAAACCTTAAACCCTAAACCTTAAACCCTAAGCCCCAAACCTTAAACCCTAAACCTTAAACCCTGCAGCTTAGTCTATAAGGGCATCAGAGGCGAGGTTTAGGAGAGACGATGCAGCTATTCGCCTTTGGTGCTTTCGACGAGCGGCTGTTGAGCTTCGGTGTGTTCTAGAAACCTGAACCCTAAACCCTAAACCCCAAACACTGCACCCCTAAACCCTAAACCCCACACCCTAAACAGTAAGCCTGAAAAACCATAAACCCTACCCATAGGCCCCATAGTAGTTCTTTTTTGGGGTTCATATTTTGAATCCTATAAGGTACTCCCAAAAGGGAACTACTATGGGGCCTATGGGTAGGCCTTCCCTAAACCCGATACGTGGTCAATCTCTTTCCGAGCCGAATCTCTGGAGCTCTTGGCCTCTTGGGCTGGGGATTTCGGGGTTCAGGTTTTTGCTTAAAGGATTTTGGGGCTTTAGGGTTGCAGGGTTTAGGGGTTTGGGGATTTAGGGTTCAGGGTTTAGGTGTTTAGGGTTTAGGATTTTTGGATGTTTAGGCTTCGAGGTGCGGTTGCAGCAGCCTCGATGCTAAGCCTATAAAGCTTGACCCTCTAAACCTGCAGCCCTAAACCCTAAATCCGAAGCCTTAAAAGCCCCCCTAAAAGCCTTAAGCCCTAAACCAACACCCCCCAAAAAAGGAGCTCAAAGAACACGGAATCCACGCGTAAACCCAGTCGCACGAAAGGTCTCCATCGGTGAGCAGAAGGGCCAAGGAGTCCGCATGGGAACGCCGTCACCTTAAAGGGGGACCCCACTATAGAACCCTATAGTACCCCTTGAAGTGGACCCCATTATGGAACCTTAAACCCTATACCCTGGAAGAGCTTCGGAGCAAACCTGTATAGTACCCTTTAAGGGATCTTTCAGGGTTTAGGGTTTCGGGTTTAGGGTGCCGGGGATCTCCCAGAGCTCAAGGGTTTCTTTTAGGGATCTACCAGGGCTCTAGAAGGGCTCCTCCTGAGGCGTATAAGACGGAAGGCATAGTTTGGGTTTAGGGAAGGCTTCGTTGGGTTTAGGGCTGAGGGCTTTGGGTTTAGTATAGGGTGTTCGAGTTTGCGTGGGCTTATGATTTAGGCAGGAAGGTTTAGTTGGGGTTTAGGGTGTGCGGCTGAGAGTTCAGGGTTAGGGCTTAAGAGTTCTAGGCTCCGGGCGTTAGGGTGTTAGGGTTTAGGGTTTTGAAAGGCCCTTGCAGTTTGGGCTGCTGGTGTTTATGGTTTGAGGTATTCACGCTACATGCGTACTATGAAATGCCATGAACGGTTTGTGTATGGTCTGATTATCGGACTGGATTGAGGGTTCAAGATAGGCTTTATACGGGTGCGGCGGAGCGAAAAGAGGCTCATGATTCAGAGTTTAGGGCTTTGATGGCTCTGGAGGTTGTACGGTTTGGGGTTTCATGGACTTTACGTTCCCACCATCACAGAATCCCATATGCCGCAGACACAGTTGGTCCTGTTTTTACGCTTCTAAGCCCTGCAACCGTGTAGCGTGAAGCCACACGCTGAAGCATCCCGAGATACCCTAGACCCTGCACCCGATAAGCCCTAACCCTGAAACCCTAAAGCCCTAACCCCCAAACCCTACACCCTAAACCCTACACCCTAAACCCTACACCCTAAACCCTACACCCTAAACTACCCTAACCCTAAAACCCTAAAGCCCTAAAACCCCTAAACCCTAATTTAAGCCCTAAGCCCGAAGCCCCTTACTATACTTCAGGACGCCGGAGGAAGCAGCCCTGTGATACTCCGCAGGCGAAGCTAAGCCATTAAGTCTCCAAAACCCTTTCGACACCGTACCAGAAACCTCTATACCCCTACCCACAGGCTCCATAGTAGCTCCTTTTTGGGGTTTAGGGTTTAGGGTTTAGGGTTTACCCATAGGCCCCATAGTAGTTCCTTTTTGGGATTACGTTATAGGATTTTAAATATGAGCCCCCCCCAAAAGACACTACTATGGGGCCTATGGGTGCCCCTAAACCCTAAGAGCCCTCGATCTTCAAGTGTTATTGCACGCTTTGGAGTTTAGGGTTTAGGGTTCAGAGTTTAGAGTGTAGTGTTTGGGGTTTAGGGTTTAGGGTTTAGAGTTTTTTGGTTGAGGGTTTAGGGTTGAGGGTTTAGAGTTTAGGGTTCAGGGTTTAGAGTTTAGGGTTGAGGGTTTAGGGTTGAGGGTTTATGTTTGAGGGATTAGGGTAGTCGCTTTGCGCCTGTTTGGAGTGGCGGTGCCCGATCCCAGGCGGTGTTTCTGGGACGGCGACACAGACAGCTATGCCTCAGAGATGTGCGCATTTCGGTATGGGGGTTCAGGGGTTGTGGGTCCACTGAGGCGTAGGTTTAGGGTTGGAGTAGGGTTCAGAACTTAACTTAACTAGGGGTTTAGGGTTTAGAACTGAGGGATTAGGGTGTACCCGCAGCCCTAAACCCCAAACCCTTGTTCGGTTTAGCCTTGAAGATCAGAGGCTTTGGCGCCTCGAGGATCCTTGGGGGCGCGCCTTTCGGATTTGTGTTTTGGGGTCTGGGGGTCGGGGTGTCTGGGGTTTCTGTCTTCAACAGGGGCCCAAAGGAGCAAATCAACATAAGGATCCTCTATTTTTGATTTTGACCCCAATTTGTCGTCCGAGGTTGAGTAACTCGTTGGACAGCCCACTTCCCCCCTGTTAAATTCGGGGTTCTTAGTGTAGGGTTTGGGGCCTTTCCCCTTGAGCAAGCATCGGAGAGGTACTGCAACGAAAGCCTGTTTTGCGTCGCGACAGCATACGGAGCCCCTTTGGCAGAAGATGGTTGATTGTTTATAGGTACTGTAGGGGTTTCGGGTTCAGGGCTGTGCATTTCGGTGGAGCCTATGGCTCGTCGCGTGACTGACTGGATTTTTACATGGACTATACATAGACACCGTGGTTGCGAGAATGCTCGGAAACTTTGACACGGCCCAACCCTAAACTGGCCCTAGACCCTGAACCTGCGACTGTATAGACTCTCAACCCGAAACGCCATGCTGATAATATACGGGCCTTAATAATTAGGCTAGGGTTTTGGGGGTTCCTTATTGTAACTAATACGTATAGTAGAATATACCCCCAAAAACCCAAAACCCTGTTCTAATTGTTAGCCCTAAACCCTAAACCCTAAACCCTAAACCCTAAACCCTAAACCCTAAACCCTAAACTCTAAACCCTAAACCCTATTCTAATTATTAAGGCCCCTACATTTTATGAGTTTGAGCGCTAAGCTTCCAAAGGGCCCGGAAGGATGAACCTGAAAAGCAGGAGGCCTCCCCAGAGCCGTCTCAACACCCCCTAGACCGCCTTTAGGGTTCAGGGTCTGAGTTTAGGGTTTAGGGTTTAGGGTTTAGGGTTTAGGGTTTAGGGTTTAGGGTTTAGGGTTTAGGGTAGCGACTTCCAATGGGCCCGGCATGGTCCAACGGGTTATTAGGGTTTGCAGTTTGGGGTCTACCTGTAGTCTCCATTGTAGTTCCTTTCTTGGGTTAACCAATTTTATGGTTAGGATCTTATAATATAAATTTGGTTACCCGGTTACCCAAGAAAAGGAGCTACAATGGAGACTATAGGTAGGGTTTAGGAGGTAAGATGTGCATCCCTTCCGCAAACCGGAACGCCCAAACTCGAACCCCTGGGCCCTAAACCCCGGCCGCTGAGGTGTACCTATACTGACTCCGTCAGTGGCGGGGAGCACGGACGGTTTATTGTGCGGTTTTTGTCATGGAATCGGTGGTAGTATAGACGCTTGACATTACAAGTGCTAGGTTTCCTTAGTGTGAAGAAGGAAGAAAGTATACCCCGGAACCCTATGCTAGTTATTGTTGGGCGAAAATTAAACCCGAAGCCCTAAAATGCATGAAAGCCCTGGGCCCGGATGCCTAAAGCACTACAAGTCGGTGTTTTAGTCATGGGTCTGGTCTTTCAGACTGTTGCGAACGTCTGGATGAGAGCTCATGTTAGAATAATAGGCTTTACGGCTGGACATTTAGAGTTCGGGGTGTGGGGCCTAGGGTTTTGTTGATAAGGGGTTGGCAGGCCTTGTGGCTGGATATAGGCTTCAGGGCCTGGGGCTCAGCAATTAGTTTTGAGGCATTAGCGGTTTTTCAGCTGCCGTGTCAACAAGAAGGGCCGCGCCTTAGCATCTTTAGGGTGCAGGACATTGGGCTTGGGTGGCTACTCGTCCATGTAGGCCGTGTAGGGAAGTCCCTAAACCTTAAACCCTAACCCCTAAACCCTAAACACACATGACTCGTTTGGTCGACCCCAGGATCCTAAACAAACCCTACACCCCGGGTCTTCAGGCAAAGCCCTCGACTCCAACCCCCTGTCATAATCGATGCAGCCGCCAACCCCCGAATTCGCACGCACCACCCGACAGTCGGACGCTTTTGGAGTTCAAGTCGTCTCTTGTTTTGCTGCCGTTTAGGGTTAAGGTTTATCCTATTAGAATATCCTTATAACACAATTAGAGGATCCTAATCAGAGGCGTGACAGAGGGGTTTATGATCGATCCTACAGTTCTTCATCGCTTTGTGAAACTTTTGAAGGCAAGCAATATTAGTTTACGGTTTAGGGTTTGGGGTTTAAGGTTATAGGGTTTAGGGTTTCAGCTACATATTACAAACTCCTGCTACACTGCATAGGGACGAAGATGGGACGAAGATGGGAGAATCATTCGGGGCTTCACTGAACATCATTTCGCAGGGCCAGCGGTTGCAATGCAAGGAGCAGGACAGAATCGCTACTATAGGGGCATTAATAATTAGAATAGGGTTTGGGGGTACATTATGGAAAAACCATGCTTGCATACAATGTTGCAAACGTTCCCGCAGCTCTTGCAAAGGCTGTTGCAGATGTTCATTGGCATGGCATGGCAAGACTCTGTCAAGACTCTACAAGGATGAGGAGGCCGTGCCGATCAAGGTTGGGAAGGTGGCGTGGTCGCTGCTGCTCAGCGACACGTCTGTTCCCCTGGCCACTTTGCTGTACGACTACTCACGCAGTGTCCCTGGCTTCGATGCGCCACATTACAAGTGCAAGCTTCAGTGTTCCATCGGCTTGGCTTTCGGGTTTAGGGCTTCTGCTTTAGTGTTTAGGCTTTAGGCTTTAGGGTTCGCTTTCGGGGCTTAGGCTCTAGTCACTTAGGGTTTAGGCATTTTGTAGGGTTAGGGTTTAGGCTTTAGGGTTGGCTTTCGGGTTTAGGGAGATCGTTGCGCTTGCCTCGTAGCCACGCCGACGGCAAGTAACGCAACAGCTTCCAAACATGGACTCCACGTAGTATTTCTGGCTTAGGCTTTAGTAGCTTGGGGTTGAGGCATGCCTAGGGTCTACGCTGTAGGCTTTAGGCTTCAGGATTGGCTTTACGGTTTAGGGCGTAGGCTTTAGTAACTTTGGGTTCAGGCTTTCGGGCAAAGGCTTAGGCTTTCGTAACCTTGAGTTAGGCTTTAGGGTTTAGGCTTTGGGGTTGAGGCCCATACTAAAACCTAAACCCTAAACCCTAAACCCTAAACCATACCTTAAAGCCAAGAATCGCGCAACTCGTCAACCCAAGCCGCCGAGGGCCCTGCACGGAATCTCCGTCCCTGAGACCCGGTCACTCGCACGTTTCACCATCCGGAAACAAGGATTTCGGGTTTAGGATTTCGGGTTTAGGGTTTAGGGTTAGGGTTCAGGGTTTACTGGTTAGGGGTTTAGGGGTTTAGGGGTTTAGGGGTTTAGGGTTTAGGGTTTAGGGTTTAGGGTTTAGGGTTTAGGGGTTTAGGTCGTTTTGGGGTTCTCGGCATCCCGGAATCTTGCACCCGAAATACCAAGCCCTCAGCTATCCCTTGCTACTGAGACTGAGGGTGTCTGTGTTGTAGTAAAGCCCTGCACCTGCTCGACCCTGTCGCTGCACAACAGCCCAGGTTTAGGCTTGTAAGGGTTTTCAACATTCAGCGGAGCAATCTGCACGAAACACACTGTTTGCAGACAGTGGCAATCAGCCACACCGACCATCGTACTTTGCATGACCAAGCTCGCCCAGAAAAGAGATGTACCCAGCCCCTGAAATTGTACATAGTGTTTTTTGCCTTGATAGCTTATTTGTGGGATTAGGATCCCATGATCAGATAAGCAAGATGAGCAAATTACAGTATTGCAATTCAGGGTCTAGGTAGGTCTAGGTAGAGTTGGGGTTAGGGTATTCCGAACTGCATAGCCCCCCCCCCCTTGAGTCCTTGTCGACCCCTCGACATTCCTTCGAACAAGTATTTTGCTTTCAGGAGTCGCCCATTAGGCTCAGCTTTGCAGCCATGCCCTAGAATACGGGTCGGGAGTGGGTTATAATTGTTATGTTGCGAAACCTAAACCCTAAACCCTAGACAATAACAAACCTTAAACCCTAAACCCTAAACCCTAAACCCTAAACCCTAACCCAACTATAGTATACTATTGAAGCTGGAGGCTCAGGGGAGGGTGGGTTCGGCCTCACCAGAGATGAAGGGAAACTTTGAGACCCTGAGGTTTAGGGTTTAGAGTTTAGGGTTTAGGGTTTAGGGTTTAGGTTTTAGGGTTTAGGGTTTAGGTTTTAGGGTTTAGGGTTTAGGTTTTAGGGTTTAGGGTTTAGGGGAGTGCCAGCGCCTAGCCCCCTAGGCCAAGACCGAACATCCTTAAATGCCACAACATACGAGAACTCCTTGAACCCTAAACCCCTAAACCCCTCAACCCCTAAACCCTAAACCCCTAAACCCCAAACAAACGCCCTAAGCCTTGGGGACCGAAAGAGAATCCCAGCCCTTTCTGATTCACAACTCTACCGGTTTAGGGTTTAGGTACATGTTCCAGACAGCCCTACCCAGACAAAGCTCAAAAAAGCTCTTGCTCCAAGCTTTAAAGGCCAGGTGTAAAGTTTTAAAGGTTTCCGCCGTATAAAGGCACAGATCGCCTTGAACAAGAACCTTACAGCTGCGCACCAGAATGGGGATTCAGGTGGTTTGAGATCACCAGGGTTTGTACGGTTTTTGGTTTTGGGGCCTACCTGCAGGAGGCTTGAGGAGATGAGGGGCTTCAGGGTTTAAAGGTGTAGGGTTTAGGGTTTAGGGTTTAGGGTTTAGGGTTTAGGGTTTAGGGTTTAGGGTTTAGGGTTTAAAGGTGTAAGGCTTAGGGTTTAGGGTTCTGGAGTTCCCAGGGCTCATAGGGTTCCGGGTTATCGGGTTTGGGGCTTAAGGGGTCTAGGGCTTACTGTAGGCTTTGAAGGGGTCAGGGTTGGGGGTCTACAGGGTACATGGAGTTTTGAACCTACTGTAGAAGTGTTTGTATTTGCCACCATGAGGTATGCTTTGGGCTTATGGAGGCTTGTAATCGGATCATCTCAAGAGGTACAGGCTAAAGACCATTAGGGGCTTAACGTCTGGGTTCCAGTTAGCAGAGTCCTGTTGCAGAGAGGACTGTCTCTTAAATGTCGAAACGACTATCGAGCCCCTATAGAATGCTTGTACAGAATCCTTACATATTTTAGACCCTTCTTTTTCCCAGAACCTCCAAAAAGCGCCCATGCTAATGCCCCACTGCAGAACTTGCAAAACCTTGTGAAACCCCAACCGCTTCAGAGGCCCTGAGTTTCACGGACTTGGTCTGATAGGCGCGCGGTTCTTCCGAACTTCAGCGAGGCGAAAACGAAGGGTTCTCTGTCACCCCCACACCATAGGCTTCACCCTGGAGGCCCAAAGCCAAACTTAGAACCACTGGTAAACCCTAAACCCTAAACCCTAAACCCTAAACTCTCAGCCTAAATAGAATCTGCACTCCGAGCCGAACTGCACTGCACGCCGCAGCCACGCCGGACAGAGGATCAAAGCGCGCCCCAAAAGGGTTTCGCGTTCATTGAAGAGCTGAGGTTTCAGGGCTGCTGGATTTCGATCTCCAGGTTTAGGGTTTAGGGTTTAGGGCTTAGTGTTCAAACTTCGGTTCAACAAAACCTCGGAAGGGGCTCACAGTGAAGACCCGCCTGTCTGAAGCCCTGCCTCTGATCCGGCTTGTTTTCCACTCCCCCCCCATGTCCTTCCAGTGTCAGACCCTCGTTCGTCAACCCTGCCCTAAAGCCCAAAGCCCAAAATGCAGACCCTCTTGTCCGGCTCCCGAAGGCCCGTCTCCCTCCTATAAGGGTCTAGATCCTACATCCTTATACGGCTTAAGGTTTATGGCCCATCATTCCCAAACCCGTAAAACTCCCCAAGCTCCCGCGACCTGTTTGGGGGGCATTAATATAGGGGGTTTGGGGTGTATCATATACTATATAATTATAATACGGAACCCCCAAAACCGTACATTCGGCTGCACGGCGTAGGGTTAAGAGATCCCTTTCACGCCATTTTCACCCCGCGCTGGGGCCTTGAAACATGGAGGCGGGAGTGTGTCCCAAACTCGTGGTCCCCTGCACCTTAACGCCTAATATGGAGGACTTATTAAGTACCTATACTATTTTGGGGTTCCTCATTATGATTATAGTACAATATATCCCAGAAACCTATTCTAATCATTAAGGCCCCTAAATCCCAAACCCTAAACCCTAAACCCTAAACCCTAAACCCTATTCTAATTATTAAGGCCCCTAGATTGCTTCAAGGATTAAGGCCCCAAACTAAACCTCCGACACTTTGTACCTGCATCTCGGGTGGTGGGGTGAAAAGGGTCCA